GCGCGCCGCGGCCCGGGCCCCGAATAGGTGAGGCGGGCCGTCACTCGACCACTGCGCCCCGCCCCCGCTCTCGGCGCCCCTACCCGCCCGCCGTCTCGCAGGGCCCCAGACCCAGGCGAGGGGGCGGGGCCCCACAGGCAGCTCTTGCCTCACGGTAGTTTGTTTGAAGCTGAGCTGCAAAGTGCGGTCTGCGCGCCGATTGGCGGAGGCCCGCCACGTGGTCGCCGGGTGAGCCCGCTCACCACCCTGCTGGATACCTGAGCGCCCGTCAGCACCCGGAAAGCCCCAGGATAGGGTCTCTCCCCTCTAGGGTCAATTGGGTCTCACAGACTGGGAAGGGAGAGACAACAGGTTCAAGTACGAACCAATTTCTCCCAATTTAGTCAGTAAGAAAGGCTCTCTAATAGGTCTCCCGTCTTGCTGGCCTGCGGGAAGTGGGTCCTAGTGCGCAGGAGCGGGAAGGGAGGCCGTGGGAAGGAAAGTCGGCGCGGGCACGCGCGGGGCTCCACTGCGCAGGCGCGGGTCTTTGCGAAAGCCATGGAATTGCGGCTCGGCTACCATACAAGGTTGCTCGCGGTCCGGCCTTTCTGTAGCTTCTTTTAAGTCATTCGTCCATTGGGGGGTCGGGGGTGCAGGAGGTTTGTCTCAGGAGCATAGTGGGCGTCTGAGTCCCGGTCCCCACCGGCCCTCGGACGCGGACCCACTCTCAGACCCCCTGGCCGGCTGATCTACTCCTGTGCAGAAGTGAAACAGGAAGCACGCCCATCCGGCTCCTGCCTGTTTTTTAACCACGTGGCTCACCTAAGCACCTTTCTGAGGTGGAAAGAGCTTCAGGCAGGGGGGTCTGAGCTGGGAACCCCGGAACCTGTGAGGTCACATGTTACCCAGTTTCTTTAATGAATAAGAAAATTATGTTTAGAAGGAATGATTCAGTTGGGTTAATGCAGAAAAAGTTTTTAATCGGAAAATTGTCAGCTGGAATTCATGGAGAAGAAGAGAAAATTCATAGAGTACTTTGAGTCCGAAAATTTGGAAACAGACTAAATGTCCACCATTTGAAAGGCCCGGAGAAACTATGACACCTTCACCTTCACGTAGTAGATTAATGAGCTACGTATTCTAGTCATTCGAAAAAGAATGAGGCCGCTCTTCACGGAAGAAGTGAATTTTGAAAACCACTAGTCAGACTCTGACTCCTGATCAGTAAATCTAGTGCCTTCCCTTCTCATTCAAGAAATTATTGGACTTCCCTAGTGGTCCAGTGGTTAAGACTCTGCGCTTCCACTGCAGGGGTCGCGGGTTCCTGTTGGGGGGGTCTACAATCCTGCATGCTGCGCTGCGCCGCCAAAAAAAAATGAAAATAAAATCTAAAGTCCTTAAAGTGGCTTATATACTCCTCTGCCATCTGGCCCACTTCAAACCGTTTTCACCGCTGTTTCCTTCGGTTCACCTTCCCAGCCTCAAGTAGGCGGAGCAGTCCTGCTTCAGGACTTGTTGCCTGCTGCTCCCTCTTCCTGGAATGCTTCATGCACTGCGTCAGACCAGTGCTGCTCTATTCCTCATCCCCTTTGGATCTTTGCACACATGTCACCGTCTCATTGAGGCCTTTCTTGACCTTTCAGTTTAGGATTGCACCTCCCCATCTCCAGTTATCTGCACAGCATCTATTGAGACTAAATAGCTATATTGAGTATAAAGTTATACGTTCATTGTATATTTCAGGAAGATGCACAAGGACGTGGTGCCAGTGGTTGCCTTTGGGAAGAACAATTGGGGGGAGTAGGGTAAGATGGAAATTTATCTTTTTCCTCACTTTTTTTTTTTTTTTTTCTGAGAACACTAATATTTTTCTTTTCTTCTTCTTGAGATCCATTCTGGCAATCCTGTCCCTCTCTAATCTCCCCTTTTTCTGTTTCTTCCTTTCACATCACCTTGCATATTTCCTTTATGGCTCTGATCACATTATGTAATTGCTTTATGTGTTTAGTTATTTGTTGCCTGTCTCCCTCACAGGAGTATGAGTTCCCTGAGGGTAGGAACCCTGTTAATCTTGACACCACTTCGTTCCCAGAAACTATTACATGTTTGTTGAATTAGTAATTTTTTTAAAATTGAAGCATAGTTGATTTACAGTGTTGTGTTAGTTTCAGGTGTGCAGCACAGTGATTCACTTATACATATACATATATTCTTTTTCAGATGCTTTTCCCTTATAGGTTATTTTTCTTTATTTTTCCCCTCTCCTATTTGCATTAAAAAATGATAGCATCAGAGAGTCCAAGTTTGTGGCACAAACATGTAGTGAGCACCTTCCCTATACCAGTCATTGTGATAGGCCCTGGGGTAGAGACGTTCAAGGCAGAACACTATTCCCAAGGACTTGGGGTGGTAGTTTAGTGGAGAGAATAAAGTACACAAATTGGCCTGGCCTACTACGGGAAAGGGGAAGCCAGAGGAAGAGTGACAGCACATCTCAAGGCGTGCAGACTTAATAGAACGTGACGGCCATCCAGAGCCCTCAGAATGGCACGGATGGGCCCATCGATGGTGGAAAATGAAGATTAAAGAAAAGAGGAAGAGGAAAGAAGGGCAGCCTGCAGAAAGCATTTGATGCCAGGCTAAGGGGTTTGGCCGTTATCCAAGGAGTGGGAGACATTGCAACGTTTGGGTTTTTTTGTTTTGTTTGTTTTGTTTTGTTTTCTGCTGTGTGGTTTGCAGGATCTTAGTTCCCTGACCAGGGCCTGAACCCGGGCCCTCAGCAGTGAGAGTTCGGAGTCCTCACCACTGGACCGCCAGGGAATCCTATACGGTCTTAATCAAGGGATGATGTGCTGAGATCTCAACCTCATGAAGATCTTTCTCCCATGAGAACTGAAGATGCACTAGGCCAGAGGTGAGAGACTTGCGGCCTACAGATGTTTGCTTTGATCGGGATTTTTTTTTTTTTTTTTTTTTTTGGGCGTGCCTGGGGCCTCTCATTGTTGCGGCCTCTCCCGCCGCAGAGCAACAGGCTCCGGACGTGCAGGCTCAGCGGCCATGGCTCACAGGCGCAGCCGCTCCGCGGCATGTGGGATCCTCCTGGACCGGGGCACGAACCCATGTCCCCTGCATCAGCAGGCGGACTCCCAACCACTGTGCCACCAGGGAAGCCCGGGATTTTTTTAAAGTTGCCAAAACAAGCACGTGGAGCAACCGAGAACACAGTAGGAAAACTGTTAGTATCTTTTAAAAGCTAAACAGATACTCCATGACTCAGTAATGCCACTCCTAGAAACGTACCCAACAAAAATGCTTAGGCCTGTTCACAAGAAGATATGAAATAGAATATTCATATCTGAACTATTTTATAGGCCCAAACTGGCAGCAACTTACGCCCACCAACAGGAGAATGGATGAATAAATGGAAAAGTATGAACAATAAGAAACAGCTGTCTGCAACTCCACACAAGAGGTGGATGAATCTCACAAGCACAATGTTGAGAGAAAGATGCCAGACCACAGTACTGGTGATCCTGTTCGTACACTGTACTAAGGCAGGCACAACGAATCTAGTCTGTCTGAAGTCAGGATAGTAGTGGGGGTAGGTGGTGGGGTAGTGACTGGAACAGAGCAGCAGAGGGCTTTAGGGAGCTGGCCATCTTCCATTTCTTTTTTTTTTTCTTTTTTTTTTTTTTGCAGTACGCGGGCCTCTCCCGTTGCAGAGCACAGGCTCCGGACGCACAGGCTCAGTGGCCATGGCTCACAGGCCTAGCCGCTCCGCGACATGTGGGATCTTCCCAGACCGGGGCACGAACCCGTGTCCCCTGCATCGGCAGGCGGACTCTCAACCACTGCGCCACCAGGGAAGCCCCATCTTCCATTTCTTGATCTGGATGTTACTTGTACTGATGTGTTCGCCTTGTGAATATTCATCGAGCTGTGCACTTAATGTATACATTTCTGGCTAGATATCAGCAGTAAAGTTTTAAAGACTTTTTTGGCAACATGTCAAAATCAGATGATTTCACATACAAATTGAGCTCTTCAGCTTCTCCTGGCCTCCCTTGTGTGTGCATTCCACAGGCTGTACTTGACCTTATAACTTGCAAGGAGGCTTCCTCTCTCCAGAGTGCCAGGGTCCCAGTGCTGCTGATTTTTCTCACCTGTGTCTTCTGCCAAGCCTCCAAAGGCAGTTTGACATGCCTGTGTGTGAGCATGCAAATTATAGATGCAACCTTTTATATTTCTGTTTATTTTTGGAAGAAATATTTATGTGGCTCAAAATTCCAAGTGCAAAATGATTGCTGAAGGCTTCCCTGGTGGCACAGTGGTTGAGAGTCTGCCTGCTGATGCAGGGGACACGGGTCTGTGCCCTGGTTTGGGAAGATCCCACATGCCGCGGAGTGGCTGGGCCCATGAGCCATGGCGCGTCCGGCGCCTGTGCTCCGCAATGAGAGGGGCTGCAGCAGTGAGAGGCCTGCGTACCGCAAAAAAAAAAAAAAAAAAGATTGCTGAGAAGTCT